ACATCAAATAAACTTAAAATAAGCACAAAAAAGAAGATATTAAAATCAGAAGGGAAATGCCTAAAATGGTGACAAAAAAATCCACTAAGAAATGATAAATAAAACTAAAAGATGGTTCTTTGAAAAGACTAGTGAAATGGATAAACCCTTAGCTAATCTAATTAAAAAGAAGAGAGCAGAATATCAAATCAATAAAATGGCAATGAACAAGGTGAAATCACAGTAAAACTAGAAGAAATAAAAAGATTAATGAGAACGTATTGTGCAAAGTTATATGCTAACAAAACCTAGAGCACCGAAGAAATAGAGGAATACCTTCAAAAACAAAATGCCCAAACTATCAGAAGACCAGGTGGAGATCTTAAATAACCCCTATCTCAGAAAAGTAAATAGATTTAACTGTAAAGAAACTGCCAAAGAAAAAACTCCTAGCCCCGATGGATTCGCAGAATTCTTTCAAACTGTTATTGAAGAACAGTTAGTACTCATACTTGACAAATTGTTCTTCAAAAAAAAAGAGGAAACACCCTAAGAAGAAACAAACAAAAAAAGGAGAGCAAATAGCATGCTTTGATCTGCATTTGAGGTAGATGTATTCTTAACCGAACAAGAGACAGAAGTTACAAAAGATAAAATAGGTAACTTTGATTATTTGAAACTGAAAAAAGCTTCTGCACAGTCAGTCATTAACAAACACAGGATAAGAAAGGAAGTGATTGAATAAGGGGAAAAGATTGTATCAAATTTTCTGATAAGGTTTTGGTATCCAAACTATATAAACAATTTATGTATGTATATATGTAGATTTGTGTGTGAGACTATGACTAATAACCATTCCCCAATAGATAAATGGTCAAAACAGACAGTTCTCAAAAGAACTACAAAGTATTCATGACCACATGGAAAAAATGCACCAAATCACTAATAATAAGAGAATTGCATATCAAAACAACTCTAAGGATTTGCCTTACACCCTGCCAGTTAGCAGAGATGACCCAAAATGGCAACATTACTGTTGGAAGGGTTGTGGAAAGATAGGCACACTAATGCATTGTTGGTGGAGGTGTGGAATGTTATAGGCATTTTGGAAAGCAATTTGGAATTATACAAATAAAATTATTAAAATGTTTGTATCCTTTGAACCAGAGACTCCATTTACTAGGCTTATATCCCAAGGAAGGCTTTGATAAGAAAAAAGTCCATGTATTACTTCAAAATATTTATAGCTGCACTTTTTGTGATAGCTAAGAATTGGAAACAAATTCATTGCGGAATGACTAAGTAATCTATGGCACATGAAAGGTAATGGAGTATTATTGTGCTGTAAAAAATGATGTGTGCAATGAATACAGAGAAGCATGGAAAGCTCCGCATGAACTGATGCAGAGTGAAGTAAACAGAGCCAAGAAAAGATATACACAGTAACTACAACAGTGTAAATGGAAAGAAGGATACATCAAAAATCAAAAGACAGTGTATCAAAATTCTAAAGATAAGTGGGACTTGAATGAAGAGATGTGAGAAGACCCCCAACACAAACTACTGCTTTGTAAAGGTGGTAGATCCACAGGTGTTACACGTTGCACATTTTTGGACTTTCGCAATGCATTCAGAAGATGTGCTAACTTCTTTTTCTCTCTTAACACTTTTTTTTTTGCTTTTTTTTTGTGAGACAATCTGGGTTAAGTGACTTGCCAGCTGCTAGGTGACACAGTAAATAGAGCTCTGGGCTTGGTCAGGAGGACCTGAGTTCAAATTTGGCCTCAGACACATGACACTTACTAGCTGTGTGACCCTAGGCAAGTCAATTAACCCCCATTGCCTCACCAAAAAAACAAAATACAATTTGTCATATTGGGATGCCTTTCTGGGAGGAGTAGAGGGAGAGATACATGAGGTAACTATGGTGATATTAAAAAAAACAAACCAGAAAATATCAATTTAAAAGTACCTTAAGCCCCTTCAGCCTCTCCCTTTGATTTACTGGTTCCTCCCAGAACCTCTTACTTTAAGGAAGTCAACCATGTATTTATCCCTTTCCAGGCTGTACTGCTGGACTAATCTCAGGAAATGAGTCTCTACCTTGCCCCTTTTCATTCCCTTTCACATGGAGTCTGTCCCCAATAGAATGTATGCTCCTTGATAGGTACTATTTTTTGGCTTGTATTTGTAATCCTAGCATGTAGCATAATGTCTGACACATAATAAGTACTTATTAAATGCTCATTAACTAACCAAAAAGAAAAAGAGACTATTATAATAGTCCAGACAAAATATGAGGAGAACCTTAACTAAAACAGTGGCAGTGTGGGTAAAGGAAATGGCACGTATGTGAGAGATGTTGTGCAAGTAAATCAACGGGTAACTAATTAGATATAGAGGAGTAAGGAAGAAAAGACAAAGATGACTCTTAAGTGTGAACCTGGGTGACCTGGAAGATGCTGGGTACACTCAATAGAAATAGGAAACTTTGGAGGAAGGATGTATCCTTCTTTGGTGGAGAGGGTAACTCATTCACATAGAGGTGTCTAATCACCAATTAACAATGCAGGACAAGAGTTCAAGAGAGAAATTAGGCCTATGCATAAAGATGTAGCTATATAAAGATATATGTCTATGTAGGATTCACGTGCATATAGATGATAGTTGAACCCATGGAAGCAAATATCAACAAGGGAAAGAACATAGAGAGAAGGAAGGACCAGGGGAGAACCTTGAGGGAAAACCATTAAGGAGGAAAGAGATGGATGAAATTTCAGTAAAGGAAAAGTGGAAATCAGAAGGGAGTCCATGTTGTAGGCATGATGGGGAGGGAAGAAAGACTTATTTTGGTAGAGTGATAGGATCAGATGCTATATTGCCAAGAGTTGAGTGAATGAATTGTAAGGAAATTGAGGTATCAAGGAATTCACAGGCTTCCTAAATAAAAGACCTCCCCTAGCTTTTGAAGTTAGAAACAGACTGCAATTAAGTGACACTAAAAGTTGTGAGGTTCTAACTTCGTATCTTCATTAGCTTACTCAAATGAAGAAATTTCTACCCTTTTCTAAGGAAAGGGTACCATTTATACTGACCCTATGTCCCTTAATCTTGTTCCATCTTAAATCACTATTGAAAGGTCTAGGCATTAAATAGTTGCCAATATGCTGTTGAAACATAAATATCACACAGATAATTCCATAGAATATATTTGTTGTTATGCCTGTGGGTTATTATATTGGCATATTAGCATTCATTTTTATAGTTTTGACTGTTGTGTATACCAAGCTATATGTAATATCATTAAATTGAATTTTTTAAAAAGTATGTGAGGTACAGAAAGCTAAAGGACCAGAGTTCAGTTCTTGCTTGGGAAATTTATTGCTTATATGTGACTTTTGATAATGAATTTAACCTCACTGGGTTTCATTTTTCTCATTTGTAAAACAAGAGGGTTGGATTCTGTCTCTGAGTTCTCTCTCAGCTCCAAATCATTGATCCTATGATCTCTGCCAAATTTTTATTTAATTAGTAAGATCAGGAAAAGAAAGGGTTTACATTAAGTTAAATCTCTAATCAACATGCACATGAAAATAAAAGTTGCTTTCAAAGTGTAAATTTTATTGCTTAACCTTAACAGATGGATATAAATCCACCAAAACTGTTTAGTATTTATTTAGAATTAATATTCTACCCACTTTCAATTAAGCTTGTACAAAGGATCTAATCCTTCACTGTGACTTGTAAGTCAATGTAGACATACACTAAACTAATTATCCTGTTCGAAATCTTTTTGCATTGTCTTTGATATAATACCCAATACTGTCTAGAATTGACTGTCTCAAAGGCAAAAGAAAAAGGAATAGGTTTTACCACTTCTACTGCTTGTGGCAAGTAGGGGCTCACATTATAATGGTAAAAGCAAAAGTTGTATCAGTTCCCTAGCCTTCCATCAAGTTCAGGAAAACAATAGTGTTTTGTTTTATTTCTTATGATGGTTCCAAAATACCAATGATCCAATAACAACTAGAAGCTTTATTGTATTGGGTTGCATTCTTAAAATGAAATGGCTGACAAGTTATACTATGAAATATATTCTCTATGTCCTATAAATTATCTAAAATAGTCACTAAACAAAAGGAATTTCTAAGACATAATAATGCTTGCTTGCTTGCTTTTGAATAGGATAAATGAATTATGAGTAAGGGGTTTTTTTTGCCTTTCAATCATTTTTCTGTGTTCCACTGGAAAATTGGTATAATTATTCCTTCCTTTGCTTCTTTTCTGGCAAATTTTTTATAGTATTATTCATGTACAATATTATGGAAAGGTAAGACAAAAGTATATACTGTCATTTAAGTGGTATGCTTATGTATTTCAGTTAAATTGCTTCTAGGAAATATATTTAGTTTAGTTACTACCAAATTGGACTTAGCTGTAAATAACTCAGTTTTGTAAAGTTATATTTACATAGTGTTCTCAGGTATACAGTATACTTTCCTTGCAACCCCATGAAGTTGTAGTAATAGTAAATAATTTAAAATTACTTTTATCAGGGTGGCGCAGTAGATAGAGCACCGGCCCTGGAGTCAGGAGGATCTGAGTTCAAATTCGGCCTCAGACACATAACATTCACTAGCTGTGTGACTCTGGGCAAGTCACTTAACCCCAATTGCCTCACATAAAAACAAACAAAATTACTTTTATTAGTAATAATAACACCCACTTTTATTACTTGTTAGTAATAATAATAATACACATGGTTTTAGAAACAGTTTCAGAAGTTTAAATCATTCCTGTTTTAGAAGTAGAAAAATTAAGACAGATATTGACTCATAGATCACAAATCACAGTGTTAATATTGAGTTTGAGAATCCAGAAATGGCTAAGATGCAAATCTCTAAAGCTCTCAATTCATTCTTCATTTTCATAATTTTCCCTTTCAAACTTATAGGGGACTGGGATACATGTAAGCATTTAAAGAACACTCTCTAACTCTTTTTCTGTAATTGCATTTTTAGAATTACAGGATGAAAGGTTACCAGAAAAAAGATGTGAAGCTTGGAGGCCTTGGACCTGACTTTGAGTCCATCAAAGACAAAGTGAGTATAATATACAATGTTTACCCTCCCTCTATAAAACTGAGGTGTTGTGCTGTTCCTGTATTTTTAAGCCAAACGTTATATGTTTAAGTCAAACATTATATGAAAACCAACCCCTAATCCTAATTCTTTGTTTTTAGTTCCATTAGGATGCGAGCTCCTTGATGTATCTCTAACAGTTAACATCGTCCTTGGCACATAATAAGTGCTTAACTGCACCTGAATATAGAATTTTTAACAGCCATGTCTAGCAAAAGGAATAATAGTGGCCAGACCATTCCTTTTCCAAGAAAAATACAAACCAAACCATCGACTTGTATGCATTTCAGTTAGTTGTGAAGCCCCCAAATTGTAATCTAATGCAAAATATTCCCACAATTAAAATTAGGTCAATATTAAAAGATGTAAGAACTCTGATCAATGCAGGGATTATCCGTAATTCCAAAGGACCAATGATGTAGAATGCTACCCAGCTGCGATGGAGAGATAATGTACTAACTATGAAAAATGAAATATACAGTTTTGTACATAACAAGTATAGGAATTTGTTTTGCTTAACTATGAATATTTGTTTCAAGGCTTTTTCCAGGGGGTAGGGTGAAGGTGAGAGGAAGAGAAAATAAATACTTGTTATTGGAAAAAAAATTGAAAAATTAGCCATAAATGTTATGTTATGTGGATGTTGGTCCTTGCTGGTGGATAAATCTTACTAGCTTTCAAGAGTGGCTGTATCTGATTAAAAAGAAGAGGACTAAGAATATCAATAAAGTAGCAAACAAACTAGGTGAAATCACAATTAAAAAAAAACCAAGAAATAAAAAGAATTATCAGAACCTACTTTGCACAGTTTTGTGCTAACAAAACTGAGAACACAAAAGGATTAGAGGAATATCTTCAAAAATATAAAATAACCAAACTGACAGAAGATGAAATAGAGATCTTAACCCAATCTCAGAAAAGGAAATAGAATTGTGAAAGAACTACCAAAGGAAAATAAAGTCCCTGGTACTAATGGATTCACAGGAGAATTCTATCAAACTTTTAAAGAAGAGTTAGTACTAATATTACACAAATTATTCTCAAAAACTGAGAAGGTACCCTACCATTTCCTTTTATGAGACAAATATCTAAAACCTAAACCAGGGGAAGATAAAGAACAGAAAGAGAACTATAGGCTTTAATGAATATAGATTCTAAAATTCTAAATAAGATCCAGACAAACTACAGCAATTCATCCAAGAAATCATCATGTTCAAATCATCAGTCATCAAATTTATCATGACCAAATAGGATTTATTCCAAAGATATAATAATAATGATAATAGTAATAATATCTAACATTTATATAGTGCTTATATAGTGCTTACAATTTGCCAGGCACTGTGCTAATAGCTTAACAAGTATTACTTTGTTTGAGCTTTACAAAAACCCCGGGAAGTAGGTACTATTATTATACCAATTTTTGTTCACACCCCTGGTGTGAAGGCTTACCGAACCCTTTTCAGGGCTTCTCATCCACCTTTGGTGTCTATCTGGCACTCAGCTCTCACTTGTGGCTCCAAGAAGCCGTAGCATGCTCAGTGGCCACACCCCAGTAAACCATCTCAGCAGACAAGCTAAATCAAGCTGAGTGTAACCAAATGGCCACAAACCATGTCGATGAGTTAGGGGGGTGTCTACCCAAAGTATGTAAAAACTTTCCCTGGTAGAACGGGCAGATGAGAACAGTTTGTGCCAATAGCCACAAAGGTGGCTGAAGCACACTTAGAGCCCAGTCAGACATTGAAGACGCCAAGGTCATCCACTGCATCCCAGGCCATCACCAGTAGTCCTGACTTTTCTCTTGCCTCTGGACTTTGATGACTCTGGAAGAGAGAATGAAGTTGATGATTTTGTAGAACTCTGCCTCACTTAAATCCCGATCATGAACAAGTCAAGACATCACTCTGTGATGTCATTGGTCCTCTTTGAAAACAAAGGAAAAATTACAACATACCCATTTTACAGATGGGGAAACTGAGGCAAACAGAGATGAAGTGACTTTGTCACACAGCTATTAAGTGTCTGAGGCCAGATTTGAACTCTGGTCTTCCAGACTCCAGGCCCTGCATTCTATCTACTGCAACACCTACCTGCCCCAAAATGGTTCAACATTAGGTAAATAATCAATGTTAACTAATCTTATTGAAAACAAAAACATCAAAAACCACATGATTATCTCAACAGTTGTTGACAAAGCTTTCAACAAAGTACAACATTCATTTATGCTTTAAAAATTACAGAGTATAGGCACAGAAGGACCTATCATTAAAAAACTATCAAAAATAGTCAAAGGATATGAATGAGCAGTTTTCAGAGGAAGAAATCAAGCTAGCAATAGCCACATGAAAAAAATGTTCTAAATCATTCACTCTGAGGTAAGACTTCATGCCCATGAGATTGGTTAAGTTGACAAATTCTTCAGGGACTATGGAAAAACAGATACTTTGATGAATTGTTGGTAGAGCTGTGAACTTTGTCTAACAATTGTCTAGTAATTCTGGGAAGCAGTTTGGAACTATGCCCCCCAAAAGTTATTAAACTGCACATACCTTTTCACCCAGCAATACAGCTACTCCAGGAAGATCAAAGAAAAAGGAAAAGTTCCCATATGTACAACTATTTATAGCAGTTCTTTTTGTGGTAGCAAAGAAATGGAAACTAAGGGGATGCCCATTAATTGGAAAATGGCTAAGTAAGTTAGGGTATATGAATATGATGGAATACTATTGTGCTATAAGAAATGATCAAGGACATGGTTTCAGAAAAACCTAGGAAGACTTGTATGAGCTGATGCAAAATGATAGTGAGCTGAACCAAGAGAACAACTTATACAGTAACAATTATATTGTAAAAATAATTAACTTTGAAAAAGTTAGGAACTCTGATCAATACAATGACCACCAAAATTCCAAAGGATACATGTTAAAGCATTTGGTCTACCTCAAAGGGCAAGGAAGGGAGAAGAGAGAGAGAGAGAGAGAGAGAGAGAGAGAGAGAGAGAGAGAGAGAGAGAGAGAGAGAGAGAGAGAGGGAGGGAGAGAGAGAGAGAGGGAGGGAGAGAGAGAGAGAGAGAGAGAGGGAGGGAGAGAGAGAGAGAGAACTTAGAACTGGAAATAAAATGAAATTAATGCTAAAAATAAAAAATATCTGTCTAAAATCAAAAGCATCACATGCAGCCCTTTCCAGTAAATATGGGAGTAAAGCATTCTCCCCACTGTTACTTGATATAGTACTGAAAATGCTAACAATAGTAATAAAACAAGATAAATTGAAGGCATAAAGATAGGTAAAGAGGAGATCAATGAATAAACATTTATTAAGTGCCTAATATGTGCCAGGTACTGTGCTAAGTATTGGGGATACAAAATGAGGTAAAGACAATCCCTGCCCTCAAGGAGCTTACAATTTAATGGGGGAGACAATATGCAAACAGATATATACAAAGCAAGCTATATACAGAATAGGTAGGAAATAATTAACAGGAAAGGCACTAGAATTAAGATGGGTTGGGAAAGGTTTCCAGTAAAAGATGGGATTTTTAGTTGCGACTTAAAGGAAGCCAGGGAGATTAATAGGAGTGGAGGAAGGACAGTGTTTCAGGCATGGGGGACAGCTAGAGAGAATGCCTAAAACAAAAGATGGAGTGTCTTGTTCATTGAACAACCAAGAAGCCAGTGTCACTGGATCGACAAGTACCTTGTAGGGAATAAGATGTAAGAACTCCAGAAAGATAGGAAGCAGGCTAGGTCATAAAGAGCTTTGAATATCAAACAGAAGATTTTTGTATTTGATCCTGGAAACAATAGGGAACCACTGGATGACATGATCAGATTTGGGTTTTAGGTAAATCATTTTGGTGGCCGAATGGGAGGATGGATTGGAGTGGGAAGAGGCAGGCTGATCTACCAGTGGGCAATTGAAATATCTAGGCATGATGAGGGCCTTCACCAGAGTGGTAGAAGTGTCAGAGGAGAGAAGGGGGCACAGTCAGGAGACGTTGCAGAGGGTAAAATCAACAATCTTGGACAACAGCTTGGATATGGGGAATAAGAGATACTGAGGAAACCAGGATGACTTCTAGGCCATGAGCCTGAGGGACTGGGAGGATGGTGTTACCCTCTACAATAATGAATGGGGTAGGGTTGGGGGAAAGAAAATAAGTTTTGTTTTGGACATTGTGAGTATTGGACACCCAATACTGTGTCTATTGAACATCTAGTTTGAGATATCTGAAAAACATTTGGAGATGGAAGATTGGAGGTCAACAGAGTGGTTAGGGCAGCACAGGTAGATTTAAGAATCATCAACATAGGGATGGTAACTAAACCCATGGGAGTTGATGAGATCACCAAGTGAAGTAGTATAGATGGAAAAGAGAAGAGGACCCAGGACAGATCCCTGAGGGACACCTACAGTTAGAAGGCATGATCTGAAGGAGGATCCAGCAAAGGAGGCAGAGAAGGAGTGGCCAGATAGGTAGGAAGAGAACCAGGAGGGAATGGTGTCCTGAGAACCTAAAAAAGAGAGAGTATCAAGGAGGAGAGAGTGATCAACAGAGTGTCAAAGGTTGAGAGAGGTCAAGGAGGATGAGGATTGAGAAAAAGTCATTAGATTTGTCAACTAAGAGATCATTAGTAACTTTGGAAAGAGCAGTTTTGGTGGAATAAGGTCAAAAACCAGATTGTAAGGAAAAAGAGTGAGAGGAGAGAAAGTAGAAATAATGCCTATTTCCTGATGAAATGACGGTTTTCTTACAAAATCCTAGGTAATCATCAAAAATACAAACTGAGACAATAACTTCAGCAAAATAAAATAAAACCTCCAAAGTCAACAGCATTTTATGTAATTATTAAAAAAATCCAAGAGGCAATAATAGAAAGGGAAATCCCATTTCAAATAACAACAAAATACATAAAATATCTGGTGATCAATTTAAGCAAGCACTCAAAAGACTTGTT